TCGGGTAGATGATCATTTGTCCTTGTACCTCCCAATTGGTTCTCGCCTTTAGCATTATGCCGAAGCTGTTTCACTTCTTCTTGAGAGAACCCTTCCTTTAGTCATTTGACATGAGCTTGCATTGTGATTTGCTCTCTCTCTTTCCACTGGCCAAACAAGTTAACTTGACTTGCATGTGTTTTGATTCACTGTTTTGAGCTTTAATGAATGTTAAAAGGAGTAGAGGATTTGAATTCATGTTTAGGTTGAGCTGGTTGTCATTGATTGTGATTATGAAGGTGCGGCTAAGATTTTTAAAGTAGAGAACATCCTTTGCGCTTTAGACCTAGGAACTAGGTTGTTGATTCAATTTCTCTTGTCTTAATGATGATTTCTAGCTTTCTTTACCTCTTTGCTTTCGGTTCGAGTATGAGTAGCGAGTAGTTCTTTAGAGGTTTCGAGGGTGAGATTAGGAAAGGTCAGAGCTTTAGCTTCCTGTTAACCTCTTCCTTAATCTCCCTTGACCAGCTTTTCTTTAGCTAGAGCTTTATATCTCGGCTTCTTCTTGATCACTTGAAGTCGCGAATCTAGGCTAGTACACCTAGAAGGTGTTTGCGTTAATGCCTAAGAGAGCTAGCGATAGAGAGAAACATTCCCAACCTAAGAGATTGGTTGTTGGGATGTATCTTGTGCACTTTAGACTAGATCTTGTGAAAGCTTGTAACTTTGAGTCCACTAGTGAGAGCTAGCTTTGGATTCTCAGCTTGCAAAGCGATCTGACCACGAGAGTGGCAGATTTACCCAAAGTCTAAGCACAAAGCTTGAGTCTTGGTGTGTTGAGAAAGGAAGGTTGAGCTCGTTTGATCCCAACTAAATCTCACCCAAGACGCCTCCTTTATCTTTTATTGTCAAAGTTTAAATCTTTATTTCATCTTGTTAGCTTAAAGCATAGATCTTTACAAAACAAAACCCAATCTTTTATCAAAACTTGATCTTTGCCTTTTCTTTATTTCGATAGTTTAAATCTCCACTTGGATTGACATCTCAAGTACTACAATGACATGAGTGGTATGGATTGAGATTAGTTGATACAAAAATCCTACTTATCAAATGCCCCAGCTACTTTCCAGAGATGCATGACCTCAATTTTTTCAGATCTGATAGAGCAGATGGTAGAAGTCTTCATGGACGATTTCTCAGTCTATGGAGCATCCTTCTCCTCATGTTTGTCAAACTTGTGCAGGGTATTGCAGAGGTGTGAGGAGACAAATCTAGTACTGAACTGGGAGAAGTGCCATTTCTGGTTCCAGAAGGGATTGTCCTTGGACAAAAGATTTCCGAGAAGGGGATCGAACTCGATCGAGCTAAGGTGGATGTCATGTTGCAGCTCCCTGTTCCCAAGACTGTGAAGGATATCAGGAGTTTTCTGGGTCATGCAGGGTTCTACAGGAGATTCATCAAGGATTTCTCAAAGATAGCAAGACCCTTGACAAGGCTTCTGTGCAAGGAGACAGACTTTGAGTTTGATGAAGAATGCCACAAGTCTTGGACCTTACTGAAGGATGCTCTGGTATCTGCCCCAATAGTTCAAGCTCCAAACTGGGATTACCCATTCAAGATTATGTGTGATGCATCTGATTATGCAGTAGGAGCAGTGCTTGATGTACTTGCAGTTTGCATAGTTTTAGTACCTCTTTTATGCATCTTTTGCATAGTTTTAGCATCCATTAGCATCATTTCTTGTTCCTTTTCTCTTCTTATGCATTCATAGTAGTTTTAGGTTGCATTTTCATACATATGCATGTTTGATCCTTGAATAAGTCTTTTGGAGCACTTTGGACCATATGGGACGAGAGGAGCAAAGCAGGACTTGGCACATGGACGCAGCTCAACTGGATACGTGATGCGGAGTCAGGTTTTACCAAACTCCTAGACCTCTGCAAGTGCACAGATCGCGGAAGTATGGGTATCGAACACAAGGACTGGCTATTGAGTACACTTTGTAACTATGGATTTTGGATCAAGCTAAAACAAAAGTATGATTGAGGTTGTAATGGTGAACCGAACTAGCAAGTATAACGAGGTTGTAAGCAATAAAGGAAAAGCGCTAGGTCATAGGGGCTATCGCAGAGAAGCAAGCAATGATCAATGAAACAATGATAGATTAATTGATTAGGGATATTGGGATATTAAGAACCATCTAGAACACAGATCACGAATATAAAACCATTCCACTTTCGAGGCTCCGGCTCCTTTGCTAATCTACCTAGTCGCTAAACTTTTGGTATGTCCCTAGGTGATTAGATCAAGCATTAGAATGAATAGGTTCTGATACAGTTCACTAGATATAGATAGATCAACTTTCGCAGTCTAAGAAACCTAGCTTGTCAAAGAATATGTCCGGCGAATGATACAGCACTGTCGAGGCTCAAATCAACCTAAGATCGGATTACTAGATGCGCGGTAAAGCAATCAGCATTAGTTAAGTGCACAAGACGAGACAAAGACTCTAATATAATCCCTAGCTAATCATTGAAATCAAAGATCATGCAAGCAACTCATTGAATAGTAACCCTAGCAACCTAACTAGTGGATTACTCAGACATGATCAAAGCAAACACACATAGAGATGAAGAAAACATGATTGCAATAAAACTTAGAGTAGGAAATCGAAATACAGGGCGGCTCTCTTTCTCAAGAGGCTAAAAATCCATATATATAGTGCTAGGTCTTTCTAGAGGCGGCTAGGGTTAAGCCGGGCTTGAAAACATAAGTTTGGGCTTCAAAAAGGGCTTCGGGTCGACCGCGGCGTTGGGACGGTCGTGCGGGACGATCGGCCGGACAATCGGTCGTGGGCGAGTCGGAACGGTCGGGGTCGGACGGATTCGCGGTCGGCCGGCGTGGTCGAGCGGATGAGATTTGGCCGATGATTCTCGGCCGGACGTGGGACGTTCTTTCCCGGCTCGGACGGATGCATCGGCCGTGGTACGCGAACGGGTTGCGCGGCCGCGAGGCTTGTTTCCCGGCTCGCGCGCTTTGGTCGTGCGCGGCGTGGCGTGAGCGTTGGCTTGGCCGACCGCGGGACAATGTTTCCCGGGTCGTTGCGTGATCGGCCGGTCGGTTTGGACTTTGGCCGAGACTTCAGTCGGACGGACGTGACTTTGGCCGAGCGCGGAACATGTTTCTCGGCCAGCCGGACTGCGCGGTTTGGGCGCTGTTTCTCGATAGAGCCGTCTGGACAGTCTTCACTCTTTTGGTTATAACTCCTTTTCTACTCATCCAAATGAGGCCATTCCAGTTGCGTTGGAAAGTTAACTCAATCAGAGCACGCAGGGAACTGGTCTTGATGAAATCCATTGAGTAGATCTTTTTCTGGGCCCTCTTAAAGTTGGTGCTTGTGCATGGAGCTGCTTGAAGTGCAAATCCTATGGTTTTGCTCCAAAATGCATCATTTCACCTGTTTAGACTCTAGACACTATAAACACAGTAAAACTACCTTTTTAGATAGAAAACCTGCCAAAAACCATTAGAAAACAATGCTAAAACAGTATAAAAAGTGGGTAAATTAGAGGTATATCAACTCCCCCAGACTTAGATCTTTGCTTGTCCTCAAGCAAAAAGAATCTAAATCCGTGAAAGAGGTTTGAAAACGTGGAAGCTCCCTTGCTCTTTTGAATATCCTGTGAAAGGTTCCTTTCCTGTATTCCACTATGAACATAGACAACATAAGGTTAGCTTCACATACACCCTGCAAGTTTAGCGAACAATACCAACCCAACTAGTCTCATCCAGCAATCCAAACTCTCTATTGCTAACCTCTTGCATAAATTTAAAGCGTGAATTCTTTATCAAGGGGACATCGATCAATTGAACTTGTTCTTACCCACTTGATCCTCTCCAAGATTGCCTCTTTAAGTGCAATGAGTTCTTTTCCTCTCTCTTTCTCACATCAGAACTTTGAAAGGTCAATTTCTCCCTACTTTTCTAGGGTATCATTTTATTTTTTCTATTGACCCTTCTTTCAACCACAGGATAAGTCTTTAGCTTGTTCCTTGTTTGACTAAGGTATTCCATAAGACATGAAGGTACAGACATATGCATTCCTCATGCTTACTTGTTGTCCTTGTGCTCTTTGAGCTTTTTCTCATAACATTACTTACCATTTGGGATGGGAGAGAGAGGAGAACTCTTTAAAGATTAGACAAATCTTATTGAAAATCAAGCAAGGAACTGTCGACATGTATGCCAACCCCCTTGACAAGAGTAATTAAGATTGATTAAGTGTGAGGTTAACTCTAGATTGCTTGGTTACCTTAGAAATTTTGCTGAGCTAGCATGTCGATCCACTGTAAGAGCTTCTGTTAGGCTTGTGCCTTTAGCTGGTTTCTGCTCTAGGGTCATGGATTGTTAGCATAACACTCTCAATTCTCAAAGCAAGTTCATAACTTCCGGACTGGTTTTTGACTCAATAAAACTTTTTGAAAAACATGAAACAAAGTGAATAAAACATAAGAAAAGAAAGAAAAATGCATTAGTAACACAATAAAACTCCCCCCAGACTTAACTTGCACCGTCCCGGTGAAAGCAAATCACATTAAGGTGAGAGGTAATATTCAAAGTAAAAGAAAAATAAAGAAAAATTCATTAAAATAAGATAGGGATAGAAAATGGAGATTTGTAAGTGTCCATTGCACTAAGTACCACTTGAGATGACTATGTGTGGCAGTGAGAAGAACTCTCTTCCTCATCTATGGGGTCATCGCCTTCTGAACCAAGCTCTGAGTCTAGTGAGAACTCACCAAGGTCAGGCTCATATGGCTCTCTAGCGGTGGAAGAAGGGCGAAAGAGTCTCTCCGGTGCAATGTGGCGAACTACGCGGACTAGGCGTGAGATGAAGCGAGATTGGCATTCCACTATCTTCTCCAGCTTGTTAACACGGTCTAGAGCTTGGTGCGCAGCCATGCCAGTAGTGAGAACATGGCGTTCTTGGATGCGGCGTTGAGTCTTGACTGCATGCTGAAGTGTGCGATAGGTGAGCATGGGGAATGATGGTTTCTCACTTGATGGAACATAGAATCTTCCTCATTGGGCTGGAAAGTGACAACTCCTGAGCGTAGGCTTGGGATGTCCTCATGTGGCAGCAAGACAAGGGAAGTGTTGGCTGGACCAATTGGAAACTCATAGCAAAACCGAGTTGGGTCTTTAGTCCAACGGTTTAGGAAGTGGATGTGCTGAAGAGCATGGAGATCCAAAGGGGTTGGCTTGGGTAGTGGCTCATAGTTGGGAATGTCAATCCCCACATGCAGTACTATGGCCGTGATAAGCCTCCCAAAACGAACACAAAGCTTCTTGTTGCCTTCCAAGTCTTGAGCTAGCTTCCTCACATTGATGAATGTCTTGGCAAGTAAAAGTCCAAGGTTGGCCTTGTACTCATGCTTGATGAATGGTGTGGTGAGGATGTAGAACTCATCAGTTGTGACCTTGTTGGCTTCTTGTTTGCATTGGAAAGTGGTGGAGATGAGGCGGTGCACATAGCGAATGGCTGGATGGTGATTCTAGACACCTTTGACCTTGAAGGCAAGAATGGTTCATTGGCAAAGTGTGTCCAATCAGCAAAGGCAGCTTGTTTCCTCTTTGAGTTCTCCTTGAAGTCATGTGCTGTCTCATTGGGAAGTCCAAAGAGTTGGCATAGAGCTGAGATGGATATGCGCCCATTGGCATCGCCTATCTTGAAGAGTAGGAGTCCTTCACCAGCTGGTTGGTCTCCATTGTGGTTGGGAAAGGCAAGAGCTACTGTAGAGAGGAACTCCTTGGTGAGTTGTGAGTACTCACTACATTCTAGCTTGAAGAGCTTGCTCAAGCCTAGCTTCCTTATGTACCATGTGACATCATCTCTTATCTTGAGAAGATCAAGGGTTTGGGTGTCCATCTTCACACATGGCTCGATGTTCACCTTCTCCATTGCCTTCTTACACTTTCTTGGGTCTTGATTTTGTTCTCCAACAAAGGTTACAAGTGCCCAATCATCTTCTCCTCTTCTTGGACTCTCCACATGTTCTTGATTGCATCAATGGAATGTGGTGAAGTTGGTATTGCTGCTCTTGCATTGGAGCTACTACTCCCTAGCTTGATTTGCTTCTTTGGTGGTTCCATGAATGGGTTCTTCTTCTTCTTCATACTCTCATTTCCTTTTGTCTTTGCCATTGGTGTACCTACAAGAGCAAATTCTTGGGAAGAAATATGAGTTTGTGATTAATGCAAAAGAAGAATAAGCTAATTGAGTTGCAATAATGATATGGAATAAAGGAACAACTCAAGGCTTAATCATGAATCAAAGAGACAAAATAGAAATTTCACTTTTTCAAAATTAATTTCGGATTTTACTGTTCATCCCAAGATTATGGTGCTTAAAATCAAAATTTTCAGCAAATCAAGAGAAATTGAGTTTCTAATCCAAGTAATCACTAGATAAACTAATGAATTGAAGTATGCCTAAGCAATTTCACCTTTGAATAAGGGGTTTGGAATGCCCAATAAGTTTTGTGAAAAACTATTCAATTGTGAAATTAAACTTCAAATTAACTCTAAACCACCTAGGTTCCACCTAGCAAAGTTCATTACAAGACTATAAGGATGCTAATTTCAAGTCTAGACAAGAGTTTAGACCAAACATGAAACTTATTGAAGATTTTCGATCTTGCATAAACATAGGATTAGAGTTAGAAGACATACCTTGTGTGTTGAAAAGTGAATAAGGTTGCAAGAGCAAGTAAATTCCAATTTAGAGTTATGAACAGTAAAAGTTTTGAAATCAAAACTCTTAGAGTTCCTCTAATGGAGTTTAGGGTTTTGGAGAAGAAAGAGAGGTTCTTGTGGTTTTCAAGGGAAAGGTGAAGTAAATAAGATCTAAATCCTATCAATTTTCCTTTTCAAATTCGAATTTTGATTGAAAACCGGTTTAAGTTGGTTTAGATTGGTTAAAACCGGTTTGAATTAATGAAAAGGGGACTTACCTTGGCCTAGAAAAGTTTTGGGCCGATGGCCGATGGATTTTGTCGCGGTCGAGCGATTTGGTCGGCCAAATTGTTTTGGCCGAGAGATTTCGGCCGAGGCCGAGCGTGTTTCCCGGATCGACCGGCACGGTCGGTCCGTTCCGATACATAAATCCGGCCGATCGCGGCCTATCTTCCCGGATCGTACATGTCGCGCGAACGTTTTTGTCACGCGATGGAGTGAATCCGGCCGAGCACGAGCTATTCCTTCCCGGCTCGACCGTAACGGTCGGCCAGAATAG